AAGGAAGGAAGGAAGGAAGGAAGGAAGGAAGGAAGGAAGGAAGGAAGGAAGGAAGGAAGGAAGGAAGGGTCAAGGCCCCAATAAAAATTTCATACCCATAGATTACACAGAATCATGCCAGAGCTCCATTAACATCCTAGCCTCAGTGCCTGGGGAAAAGCCAGGTCTTTACCGCCAAGAAGTGAATATCTGTTTTTTTCAAATCCTTACTTAAACTTACTTTGAAACACTTCAGGTATTTCTTATCTTCTCCCATTCTTGCATTATCCTAATTTTAAGCCAAGGAATCCACTTACTCACTACAACAGCTAGGAAGGCAAGAACTATTTTATGTTCCTCTCCATGGAAATCTTCAGTAAAAGGCAAAAGATTTACATGATCTGAAGAAAAAGCAGAGTATTCCATGGTTAATCATGCATTTCAAGCTGCTTTCAGATAATGCAAGTTCACTCTTACTCATTCATTCATTCATTCATTCGAGTTAGACGCCACCTGATTCCAAGGTAATTGGGGAGCTCACAATGTTACAAATTGAAGCAGTGGCGAGCTTTCAGGCTGAATGGGCAAGGTCTAGTTTTCTTTTGTCCCGGCCTTTTGCCAGCAGCTGTGGCTGGCATCTTCAGAGATGTATACCACAAAGCAGGTCACCCTGCCATTCATCCCAGAAGCTCATCATTTCTTCACTGACATCAGCCATGAAAGCCTACACTGTATACACTGTAACGTTAAACATTGTGTTCGATTTTGTTCTGTGGTTTGTTTGTTTGGCTTGGCTTTGTAAAACTATCTAGATCTCATCAGTCAAGACTATTAGCAGCCTTTGATGACTGGTGTACATCGATTTCTTTTAAAATCCAAGGAATATTGCCAAAATTCTATAAAACTGATGCACTGAGGAAGAATGGTTGTTGAACTATGGAAGAACAGTTTGAAATCGAAGAATCTAATTTTAACTCTTTTTGGCATAGAATTCCTTTGAATTCCTATTTGAACAAATATCAAGGGTTTTTCATGACGAGAATTCATAGTTGGTATTATGTTCTATATTGTTTCTATTCTAGAGTGCAGATGTTCTATCTGTTCTAAAATACACTACAGTTGATGGGCTTGCAAGGAAATGAATACACATTACCATTCTGGCAATGGCTAGTCATTGTTTTCTGGGGCCTGAAAGCTCTTGAAGAATTTGAGTAAATTACTTAACCATCTTTTATAATGAATCTTGCTCCTTGATGCAAGGTGAGAAATGGATTAGATTGCTGGGGTCAGCTGTCATAATTGTCATCATAAACCCCTGAAAAATGAAACTTTGTATCTCATTGGATATGTGATATTTAAAAATGTGGGAAATTGCTGCTGAGAGAGAGATGACAGGAACAAAGAGTTGAAATCCTCTACAGTGAACAATAAAATGTAAAGCCGGTCAGCATTCATTCACTCATTTTTTTCCTAATAACATGCCTTGATCTGGATCAACATAATTCTGGACAGAATAATTCTGAACAAATCTATTGCATTTGGATGTTTGGAACTCTTTTATTTCCATTTAACATTTTACTTGCATGATTATTGGGGGGGGATTATACATTTATTTATTTATTGTAATTTTGTGTTGATGCTTAATTTCATCAACGAAAGTACTGTAAACTTTTGAAAAAAAGTTTATTCTTTCACTTTAACTGTTCTAGCTCTCCTTGTAAGTTCCATATCTCTGAAAACTAAAGCAGATACAAGAAATTTAATTACCTGACCTAAAATGGAGTAGAATTCAAAAATCTCTCCAATGATTTCTTTGAAATTTGGGAGGCCTCATCCCCTCCTAATTGCCTAATTCCCCTGACGATTTTGTTTATTCTGATTAAACATGATTCTGTGCAACAGTGTCTGCAGAGAGAAGCAGGGAGGGTCAGAATGACACCAGCAACATCACAGGGTCATGTCTCAAGCCCTACCCCTTTTAAGCACGATCACAACTTTGCACATATATCCAGCATCTGGTTCAATGAAAGCAGCAAGAGTTTGCAGATACCGCCAGTCATGTGCCCTTGGCTTTTATGCTTTGTCCATATTAAAAATTGAAGGAGTTTCGTTTTTCCCAACTCACATTTCAAAAGCAGCAATAGGTCCAAACAGGCTACCCTCTCAGACAAAAGCAGAAAGAGAGAATGAGAAAGGAAGGGTGAGGAAGTGAAAGAGAACAGGGTTTGCTACTTCTGAAACCAAGGATGCAACCCCAGATCAACTTGAATGGACCATCCCAACTCTTATGTTCTACTCTATCAACTTGGTTTAAATTTAGAAAAGTCTATCAAAATAGTCACATTGAAATATTCAGACAACACTTTGTTTCAGCAGAAAAAAAATATGGGCAATAATTAGTAATAAGTTAATCTTTTCCCCCATTTATTGGTCAGATGGCTTAATGTCAGAAATTCATTTATGTAATAATCAAGCTTCTTAATATGATCAGCCTGGGAACTCTTCATCTTGCTTTGTATAGTTCTGCATCAATTATAGGCACATTAACTGAAGAAGGCACTAATTAAGGTTGTGCAACTTTCAGTCATCTGTTATGTCCTCACACAATATCTTTGCCTACTGTTCTTAGGGCTCTACAGTGCTTAAATTTGATTCCCCAAAGGTACTTCAGAGCTCATTGGAGCATGGATGTAGCCCTGGCCTCTAACTGTTTATTAAAGCAGCTGCATCTTTCTCTAATATTTATTTATTTGATTTCTCTCCCACCTTTATTTTTGATCAACAAAAAGGAGTGTACATATCTAATGCTTCTGCTCCCTATTTTCCTCACAACAACAAGGCTGTGAGGTGGGCTGGGCTGTGACAAAGTGAGTGGCCTAAAGTCACCCAGCTACCTTCATCCCTAATGGAGGAGTAGAACTCACCATCTCCCAGTTTCTAGCCCAGCACATTAGACACTTCACCAAACTGTTTGTCTATCTCTCTTTTCCTCTGCCTCTACAACTGTCATTGTAAGGTTTGCCCCGTTCGACAGAGAAACTCCCGTGACACGTGTGGTTCACAAAAG